GAGAGACAGAGAGAGAGACAGATAGACAGAGAGAGAGAGAGAGAGAGAGAGATAGAGAGACAGAGAGACAGAGACGGAGACAGAGACAGAGAGAGAAAACGATATTTATTTGCCGTATACTTATAACGGTAGTGTTTTAATGATGTCATTAACATACTATTTAGATTAGAATCTCTAGTTTGGAGACAGGGTACACAAGTAAGCGCAATATCAGCAATACGGAGAATACGACCACCTACGTAGTTAACACAGACTACTCTGAGGGAAACTGGGACTAGAGTAAAACTACGCATCTATATCCGATTAGAGTGACGCCAACGTTTTCTTTAAAATATAAACATGTTTCTCTGCAGAAAAAAGCAACCACAAAACAAAAACAACAACAAAAAATAAACACCAGTCTTCATTTATTGCCATGTCTTCTTTGGAATGCCAAGGTCACTTTAGATGTTGGAACTTCTCATTCAACTCATTCCATCGCAGATCACGGAAAAATTCTTGAGAGCCGCTGTGCAGTGAAAAATTTCAGTGGGTTGGACAGCCTCAAGTCCAAACCATTCTGGCAAAAACATACCAGAGTGTGAAAGACCTGCAACGTTTCTATAGAAATCGAGAAAACCCTAGAGATCTCTTTCTTTAGAAAATCTATGTGATGGTAAAGTAATTTCTTGACTACATAGTAGCCCCCGCCCCTCTTTTTTTTAAACAAAAAAGTAGTTAACCCTATCCGTACGTCGTGTTTTACTATCGTATCCATACGACGTGGGGAACTCTGTGCCACAACTTTCCAAAGAGGAAATTCACTCGTTAATCCGACCCGTACGCTTTGCCTAGCAGTCTGCCAAAACGATTTTTCGAGAAATACTGAAAGTTTCAAAGAGATCTTCGTACTAGAAGTATTCTAAAATGTGAAGAAAACCACCCCGCGGGTACAAAATGACAACAGGGCGTACGGATAGGGTTAAATAAATAAATGACCCTTCCAGTATTTACAGTTGTTCTAAAATATAAACCTTCAAATTCATTGACAGTATCTGGCATCTCACCTACCACGTTCTGTATATTATTATATTTCACATGAAATCGGAGAACTATTTTATGGAAATATATCCCAGGTGTTAAAGCGAGCTGCTGAGCGAACTGTGTGCTCTGGAATATGTAAGCCCTGCCACCCAAGGGAACAGGCTAAAGATTAGATCGTGGGTGTGTACCGCCCTTTTTAACTTGACTTATTTTTGACGCCTTTATAGGATGTCGAAATTACCAGACAAGTGTTGAAGATCGCACCCAGAGCCATTTTCTGGGCAGACTTATCGTTGTGGCGTATGTACAAGAGTAAGTCAAATGACTTTGTTAAGTCTCAACAGGGTAGGTTTGGGCGGTTTTATGTACATTAAAATGTTGGTGTTTAGTTACAGCCCATCTGTCCCCGCCATTCCCCCCTTTGTACTCTCTACTGATCATAAAATGGACTTTGGTGTCCCTCTTGCTCAGTTGGTATCTTGCTGAACTATGAAGCGAATGGTCCCGGATCGTGTACCAAACATGACGTTTTCGAACTCGGGTCGTTATGTGGTGTTTTCAAGGCCCTGAACCACATTGCCTCGGTCTTATCGAAGATAGATGCTACATTCGGAGGTCTTGCCTGTTATATAAACTAATTGTGTTAAAAAATGAGTTAACCCTTTACAATTATAACCTTGAGCATGAAATGGATTTGAGAATTATTGCTTCCGTCTCTGTTTATAACACTGTAACACTGTGACTACAATCACAAGAAGACCCTGGAGAGCCCGTGCCTCAGTTGGTATCGAATGTGACTGCGGTGCGGGCAACCATAGTCCCAGTACCCAATGTTATGGCATTTTGGCACTTGATTTTGGTTGACCAAAGAGTCTCAATGGCTCTCCACCTTTGTGGCCCAGTGCTTTCAGGAATGTATGTTTCGACAGTGTTCATGGGTGCAATGAATTATTAGTCATTACTCCTTTCCCTGCCACAGAAGTATATGTATTAATACGGGAAGTTTTTCAACTCTTGAAAATGTCTTTTTTCATGTTGGCTTTCGTTTATGAAAGGGAAACAGCGTGACTTTTCAACCAAAGAAGATACTGGAATTGGATAATCAACATCATCCTCTTATCTTACTGAGACTTTTTTTAAACAAATGAACTTGGATGTTTTGTCGCTGAAGATATCACCTGCGGTTATCTATGATTATTGATTTGTTTTCTTGCATTAACTTCGAATATTATTACTCCAGATAGATCTATGGGGTTTAAAGAGAGGCATGTCAATAATTTTAGACTGAACTTTTCTTTCGGTAGAGCATTTGATGCAAACTCTTTCAGCCAATAATATTTTTTCCACCTGTCTGTCCCTGAAAAGATGCAGCTGCCAACGAGACGTCGTCTGCTGCAGATTCGGATACCCCAGCAGACGATAGTTCTGTCGTCGCCGAGGCGCTGAGCCCTGATACAAACAACACTGCTAGCGTCGACGGAAATGGCGCGGGAGGACAGGATCCCCCTGCTAGTACTGAGCTTAAGGAAGTGGAGTGTAAACTGGATGAAGACCTCACAGGAGAGTGGATGTCCACAGTGTGGGGTGATGTGTCGTTCACAGATCAGTCTCTCGTGGCAGAAATTGATCCAGTTGAAGGCAAATCCAACGAATTCGAGTGTCACAAGAAGTTTGAGAACGGAGACATCATTTTCAGGTAATGCTTTCTTAAGCACTTAAATCAGTACCTTCTCTTAAGAATATCACTTCCTTAATACCTAAAAACTGCTGATTAAATGTTGAGAACGAACGTGGCCCAAAGCACATTTCTTGGAAAAACATAACTGCCTAAGCTTAAGGTATCATTATTATGCACACACTCCAGTATGGAGATGGGGGGGGGCGAGGCAGGAGGCTGTTGAAAATGAAGTATGAGCGTATAGAGTGTCAGGAAATGTCACCTGAAGCTATACAAAATTCGAAGCAAACATTCCATAAGCAATCATTAAGTAAGCCTTACAACGTCTTTCCACTATATGCCTGTTCAGCGTGTTTATCTACCATGTGTCTTAGATAGCGATAAACAAATTCTCAAGAATCTGCCATTTCACAATAAAACTGTAAGCGATGTTGCTAAACTTTGGTTCTCCTTTAGAAAATGGTTTACTGAGAACTTTTTACGTCATGCGACAGTCCTCTGATCCTGATTAATGACGAGGCTGCCACGAGGGTCTCTTTTTCTTTTTTACTCTTCTTTATTGTTGAACGTCTTTTAAATGGCTGTGACGCAAAGGAAAGAAAACAAACAAATAAACAAACAAAAAACCCTTAACCCCCCCCCAAAAAAAACACAACAACAAACAACCCCAACAACAAACAAACCTAGCTGAAGCTGGCAGCGGAAGGTAGGGAGGCAAAGAAATAGGTTGATTTGTTCCATCTTTTTGCATCAGTGGAAGCCCCCAAACTTTCTCCTTTTATTTTCAGTCGAACTTATTCTAACCACCACCTACCTGTGTAAGACAATTACCAGTACAAACAGCCACTTCCTGTTTCCATCTTTGCGCATTTTTACATTATTATGACGACCACCTGCCCTAGGCGGCCATGCTTTTCCTCGATAATGGGTGACTGTCTTATCAAATTTCGAGCAATGTGTATGTGTAAATATCTTTATCATATGTATACGCATAACTTCCATACCCCTCCCCTTTTTGGACGCTTGTTATAATAATGAGTCTTCTTTTAGAAAAAAAACCCAACAACAAACAATAGAAAGCCGAAAAAGTTAGTGGAACCCGAATTCTAAATATGCACCAGCCACATTTTGTGTTGTTACCTATGTACACCTGTGACTACCCTAATATTCCACATAGGTTGCAGTTTTTATCACGTCCTTATTGAGGGTCTCGCTCATTGGGGAAACACAAGGGAATCGATATCTGAATTACTTAACCCTCGACAATAGAAATTGTTTCGGCAAGATTGAATTTTCTTTGAGCGTTGTATATGTACTCGTGAGCAGGCTTGGTTTAATCACATGTGCTCCTGCAGGACGGAAAGAACACAGATTTGAGTGTAGCGTATGGGATCGATTAACATTAATGCTTCTTTCGTTGTTGTTTGTTTGATCAGCTCTTTGAACAAGTACACATGCAGACGGATAAAATAAGATAAGATAAGATAAGATAAGATACATCTTTATTGTCCAGATCCTGGCACATTGGTTTGGTGTTCCACCACGAGTA